GTCCGGGGGTCACTGCAGGTGGCACCTTTTTAGATATTACAGGCAGGCCCAAGTAGGAGCCCGACGCCCGTCCAAGAGGGGGGGGCGGGGTCACTGCTCCCAGGCAGGAGCCCTGTGTTATAGGTAGGATTAGATGTAATCAAGAAGATGACAACTAGCATTAGAATAAAACATAGAGATAAGGGACACTCTATTGGAAGGGGAAAAGTGGCAGAAATCACTTACAACAAACTGCAAGTCCCACTAACTAGAATATTCAGCACCAATGAAGGTTTTAAAGTAATCTGTAAAGATGACTTTGATTCAGATAAAATCCTTTCAAAAGAAGCAAGAGATATATTTTACAATGAAGGCCTTATTGTTGTCATGCCACCAGAACAAAAAGCAAAAAGATCAGTTTTTGTTCGTCAAGTCGATCAAGAGATCGGGAGGAAGACCTGAAAGAAGAACTGGAACGCCAAAATAGGTGGATGAAGATTGAAGAAGTCATTAAGATAAAGGACTATACTCATGTTTGAAGAAGTGTCAATGGCTGAGAAAGTTTTACAACAGGGCTTTCTAATATTCAACATGTCAGTCACACCACATCAAATAAAGAAGGAGACATTCATCAGTCTGCAAACTTGCTTCTCCTGCTACAAATATGAAGAACACACAACGAGAGACTGTCCGGAAAAAGAAAAAAAGTACTGCTCAGATTGTGCAGGCGACGACCATACCTACACTGAATGTAAGAATACACATGTTGGCTGTCTCAACTGTAAGAGAAACGGGAATGTATACATAGGACGGACGTTAGCAATGGCATGCCCAATAAAAAACACATGATAAAGTACAAGAACAAGAAACAAGGAAAAAGGAACAAGACAAGAAGGATACGACATACGTCAGAAATAGCAAAGAGCGGTCCAAGAGGCTCATAGACCAGAATCCACAGTATTAAACCTAAGTGAGCCAATACATGATAAGGTAATGATTAGTATGATCCATGCACATTTGCACAATATCATTGCACCGGATCATACAATGAGGAATTAAGGAAAATGTTTAAATTGAATAACCTACCAGAGATGATATTTCCAGAGAATCCACAATCCGAAAAACTATTTCAGACAACATATGCAAGCGAACTGAGAGAAAGACTACATCAAGACGAACAAAGGTTTGAGCAAGGAGCAACAGCTGATACACAAGGAACACAAGCGACTGATAGAGATCCCAGACAAATGACTAGAAGTGACAAAGAGAAGATAGAAATAACAAAAGGACAGACAAAGGAGTAGGAGGAGAGAAGATAAGATGGAAACTGATCACAATATACAACCTGAATCTGCTGAAGAAATTGGATTAAAAGTTATCACTACAACAAAACATGGAATCCCAACATCGAGACCAACAGGAGGGACAATAGTAAAAAACTGTGAAGGAGGGATATACAAGTGGACATATCAAGAAAAATCCCTAAGTGAAGATTATGTCTGGTCACTAATTACTACGGACAAACTAAAGATTACGGCCAAAGACTTTAAAATAGTAGACCCGTCAGAGTATAGAAGAGTCAGAAGCGGGAAACAGGATGATAGGTCTCCACTCCAACTGACTGCCACAATCCAAGTATAAGAAATAATGGACAATAGACAAACAGTAAGAACTTTAAGAATAATACAACACAACGTAAGAAACTGGAAGACCGAGAGAATTAACCTAAGTAATATATATCGCGAAATTGACCCTGACATTATACTAATAAACAGTCACGGTGAGACAGAAAACAACAACATAAAACTCTTTAACTATTATGTAAACCAAAGAAATAAATCGGGCGAGAAAAATGACGGAGTAGCGATAGCGGTTAAAAGAAACTTAAAATTTAAACTAATTGATGACTTCCAGGATGAATTTCTAGCAATAAAAATAAATACAACTCAAGGAGACGTAATTATTGCTACTACTTACCTATAGAAGACCTATTAAAATTGGCTAACAATAGTCATCCGATGTACATCTTAGGAGACTTTAACGCCAGACATAGGATTTTTGACAATACAAATAATAACGTCGTGGGAAACGCCCTTAATCAATTAATAAATTTAGGGAAAATCAATCATCTGGGTCCTAACTTTCCAACCTGGAGAAATCACAATACACAATCGACACCAGACAAAATTTTTACCAACAACAAAGCCTTTTTCAATTACCATATAATACAGGCAGTGACCATCTGCCAATTATACTAACACTGTCAACAAGCCCCATACAGATACCAATAAAAAAGAGACTGAAAATGAGTAAAACAGACTGGGACAGCTTCAAAGACGACTTAAGTAATCACCACTCGATTAACCTACAAGGAAAACAACAGAAGATATAGACTCAGAAATGGACAGACTGCACTCAGCAATAAAAACATCTATAACCAAACACACTCCTACTTCACACTTTAGAACATTACCAACAACAGACTACCAGAAGAAGTTAAATTAATCCAGACCTATTACAATGAAATAAACAGGTATATGGAAAGACACGGCAGTAACAGA